ATGTCAGGCCTATCGCCAGTCCCTCCTGACGTGGGCTGAAAACGCGCCAATCTCAGTGGCTGGTTACAATGGGAATGTGAGAAAACTTTAGGGACAAAAGCAGTGTTTGGCCACAAGNCCTTAACTGCTTGAAATTACAAATGTATAGATTTTGTATCAAAACTTGATTATGTTTCAGACTTTTGGTTGAACAAAACATTTGTAACTGAAAATGTGAGGTACTTTTTGTGGCCAGATCACAAAACTAAAAAAATAAAGAAACAATTAGGGCTCCATGAAGGAATTATATGGCATGTTGCCTTTTATATCAGAGGTTTAAATGGACATCTTCTTTGATTGAGAAGAGATGGAGATCTATCACTTATTGACAAACTTTGAAAATGATCCAGTCTTCATTTAGAACATTAAATTGGTGTTGGTAATAACTCCTTTCAGACCAGATTTTAGATCAATATCTGTAACTCTGACTCCGTTGTACCCATTCTTATGTTTGAAAAGGTCACTTATCTATAGCCACAATAACATCTGGATGATGCCAAAAGTTAATAAATTTTAGATGTACATCCGGTAGTTTCATTTAGAAAGTGGTATTAAAATCCATCCATTGGTTCATGGGATATTTTGCTAAGAGTTTCAACGTTTGAATTAAAGATCAAGAATAGATTATTATTATTTAACCAGACCCTTCCTTCAGACTCACAGGCATAATCTAGTTTGGCTTCAGCCAAGGCCTTCAGGGTGTTTTCAGCAGAGACACTCTCAGTGTTTAGAGATCCAACAGCATCGTAGACCTTCTTGATCCTGGTTATCAAGACATCTGTCATGGTTCTGATCTCATCTGAAGAAAGGTCCCACCTCAGGAGGTTACCGCTGGATGAGGTATAGGATCTCACCGACCTGCTTGGGATCGTCATCTTCAGGTGATAATTGGAGAACCTGGAAGAAAAGGCAACAAGCCATTATACACTCACCGGCCACTTTATTAGGTACACCTGTCCAACTG